TTTTTGTTAAGAAGTAAAACACGTATAAATTATCTTATTGAGAAGATAATTATAATTCGTCAGTTATAAATCTTACATATATTATCTTATTTAGAAAATAGTTAGTCATATAACCCTCTTGGACCTATAAAAGTAGATAATTGCCATGAACACAGTCACTATTACCATTTTAAAATAATTATATACGCATAATCTTAAAATGGTAACAGTATATATCTAGAATAATGGATTTGATAATGAGGATAGTAATTATATTTAATTATATGTTTTACTATAAACTAACATAACCAAAATACAAGTTTTCCATTTGACTTCCAGATTTTCTGTTAACTATAAGCTTGTAATACTTCCTGGCACTCATTAACTTCCTTCACCAATGGTTTCATCAAGCTATCAAAAATGTCTACAAATTTGTTATTATTGATCTCTCGTTCATATAATTCTAATGCATTATCCATTATTTTTTTATACTCAGAAAGCTTTTTTTGTCTTTCCTCAATAATGTCATGCTTTACTATTGAGTTATCAATATTAGAGCTGCCTTCATCAATAGGAACATCTGTCACGGTCATTCTGTATGTAATCCAAGCATTGTTCACTGAATTTATTGTTGGCACCTTATCTTTCTCAAAGATAAGCAAAGGGTAATCATGTCAGCATGTTGTCTCTGCGAAAGTAGACCGGAAATGAACACCATCTTTTTTTATTATGAGGTGTTTACAAATAAGATAATGACTATATAAGTATGTAAGGCAAGAGCATATCCAGTTTTTTACATCAATGTAATAAGTTTCATCCATGTCTGGTCAGGTTTCGGCAATTGCTAATTTATTCCAATCTTTTTTGAAACCTTTTCATCATGCTGGAAAAGATTGATTACCATCAAACTGGTTTATTTTGATCTCAAAATCAGAGATTAATTGTGTTGCAATGATTTGGATAAGATAGTCAAGGTGTGGCCTGTTATAGTTATACTTATAATTATATTTAAGAACCTGCCAATAACTTTCTGTAATCATGGTGGTTTGTGCTAGTGGTATGGTAACTGGATATGCAGATCAGGTAAAGAGCTTCCAATCTTTCTTCTTGTACTAATTAATCCACAGGTAATCCCAAAGCTTGGAAAGATTATGGACATGGCAGAATCAGTAAATCTCCTTTACGTAATTGTGATAAATTTTGGCAGAAGTCCAGAAAATATCCTGTACTATAGGTATAAGCGGATATATATTTACATATTTTTTTATCATTTCCAAAAGTTCTTTAATAGAACTGTCTGAACACAGGATTTCATCATTTCTATTTGATATCCAGTGAGAGTCGATGAACTCAAACTATTGGTAAGTCTCTGTAGCTTTCGCTATAGAATATGCATTTGCTTTTGATTTTCTGTCCTTCAACCATCTGTCTATGGCATGTTTGAGATGCCAATAACATGACTGAATATTGGTGACCCATGATCATACTTCACTAATAGCTGAGATCTCTCCAGCATCCTTATCAACGAGAGCAAATATTGGTAATAACTTTATTCACCAAAGGCTAAGAAAAAACTTACAAAGAGCTTATAACCTCATATTAACTTCATTCTTGGAATCATGACATGCTTGGTCAGTGCCATCAGATGTTAAAAGGTAGAGGTATGCTAACGGCATGCCATATCTGCTGCAATTAGCATTGACAACAAAAAGCTCAAAATATTCTTGGTTCATTTTGAATATAGAATCTATAATGATCTCATTCACATTTTTAACACCAATATGATCAAGCAATAGTATTATAAATCCAAGGGCTCTCATGAAGTCATTTTCGAGATAATATATTGTTTTAAATCCTCTTGTTGCGAATTCAGATTATTTGAGATATGCCTTTGTTGATAAGATCTGGTTAGCCAAATTTATAACATAAATTTTCTTGCTAAAGACAGATGCCCAGTAATAGACTTGCTCTTTTGTATACACCACCGGATCAATATGTCTTTCATTGCAAAGATGTTAGTAAAATTCATAACTTTGCAAATTATATACAATATTTTCCTTTATCCACTCTCTCGCTTTTATAGGAAACTATATTTTTTGATATTATAGATGTGAGTGTTGCGTTAGATGCTGTACTTGGACTAGGACGTGATGTTGTTGAGAATTAATTATAAGTGAGATTTTTCCTTCATACACATACCTATCGATTGGAGCTCAAGCTTCACTTTTTTGTTTAACTGACTGATTCTCTGATCTTTGTCACTGACAGTTCTCTCGTTGTGTATATCCAAGATATATTATTGCGTAACTAGTAAATTTCTTTTTACTATAGTTTAGATGTACATTATGTATTTCCCAGTAATAATAGGATTCAGATTCGATAGCTATAATAACAATCTTTACAAGTTGGCGGAAATTGTTCTTGATTTTTTTTAAATCTATCATATTTGATTGAAGATCACAAGAAATACATTCAGCAAAAATTGGATTTAATTCAATTTCAAAAATCTCTTTTATAGATTTATTTTCATTTTTTAATTCTTGAAACTTTATACTAATATATCCTTTTATTTTATCTAAATTATAGAGCAATCCAGTATTATCATTATCGAAGTGGTTATTTTGAGTATCGACTACACTATCTCCCGCTTGTGAGTTATTTATTTGTTCGAAGCTTCTGTCATGCTCAAGGAATGGCTCAAGATCGTTCAAGTTATTGTTGATCTGGAAAACATGAGTGGTATTTGAGAGATTGCTGCTGCCTGAAGGATTGCTGCTATTGCTCAAAGAAATACTGCTGCTGCTCGAAGAATTGCTACTGTTGCCGTTGCTATTGCTTGAAAGATTATTGCTCAGAGGATTACTACTCGAAGGATCATTGCTCTGAATTATCTCTTTAGGGATGGTTTCTGAAATTCTTGCCTTTTTTCTTGATACTAGATCCACTCTTTGCCTTTTATTTTTGCACCTCTCGTAGTACTGATTACAGGTATCATATTTATATTGCTAATAATTTGCATGGCTACGAATAAAGTCTATAATTTTCTTCGTGGAATGGCAACCAGTACACATTTTTATTCGAAAGACTTGGACAGAAGCTATCAGAAGAGATAAGGTATATCTTTATTTATTTTACTTACATCAAGTAATTTTATTAATAATTAGAAAATAACATCTTACATGAATTATTCATTTTTTTAAGTTTTATGATACACATTTAAGGATGATATTATGCGTTCTTGCCTTTAAGTTATCTATAATAGTGTCACCCCCTTTAAAAAAACCTCTTTAAACCCTTGTGACTCTTCCAGTCTTTTTGGCAAAGATCTATATGGTGTCAATTTAAATATCTATTATAATATAAATCCTTATCTAATAAGATTTTTTTAATTACTAGTATCATAATTTAATTTTAATACATTAAAATAGACATAGTGTAATTATATTATGTGAATCGAAGAATCTCTAATATTTGGTGTAAAATATCTAAAGTTGTCAAATATTTGTATTTATAAATTAAATAAATATCTTGATAATTATTTACAAATTAAATTTTAGATTTTATTTCTTGTCAAGATTTTATTCAATTTATAAATACAAACATTTAATAACTTTAACTGCACTTTATTCTGTACATTACGATAATTACATAATTTGTTTGGCTAATGAATAATTTAAATTCAAAAGTGGTTCTTTATCGCTATCTATTACTTGGTAAGTCTCTAGTATAATTTAATCAATATTTGTTTTAATTTAGGCTAATAATACTTTATCTAAAGCATTTATATTAGTTTGGGCTAACAACTATTTAAATTTGTAAGTTATCATTTATTTCCGCTTATCATATAATAAGGATTCAGTGCAGTTTTTTTAATACATTTAGTTACATTATATTAATGATTTATTGCAAAGTTACTTTTCATTGCTATCTATCATTTGGTAAGGTTTTTTTTAGTATAACTTCTTTTAAATTTAGTGATTTATTTTTAATTATAATTTCTTTTAATCTACAGATGGTTCCTTCTAGTTTTTTATATATGTTAAAAATATATTTTAACTTATAAATTAAAAAATTTAATAAATTAAATATTACACTTGTAAACAATTCTTTGCGTAAATAATTCTTTATTATAAATGCATTAATAATTCCAATATTTTATAATTTGATTAGCTATCAAAAATCTACCAAAAAATCCAAACTCATCTCGCTGTAATTGACAAAACTCTCGACCTAGTTGAAAAATGCACTCTTGCCAACGCCTACAAAATCTTTGAAGAACAACTCGAAAGAGAATGCAAAGATCAAGAAAAAGCTGATGCCAATAAATCCACTAACATTAAACTCGAAAACTTATAGCAAGAAAAATAAAAACTCAACAACTTAAAAAAAAAACAAAAAAAACATACCCAAAAAATCACCCAAACTCAATAAGATCTTGGAAACTCACACACAACACATAAAGACAAGTTTTGTCTAATATATAAATAATGTGAAATCTTTAAATGGTCATTTAACACAAGTAATTAAAGCTTATAATAATAACTACTAGCTATATCAATAGTTCTGTTTGATTAGCTATAGCAAAATCTATCCTTTTAGAAATCTTGGATGTAAGTAACGGATCAGTAATCTTCAGAAATCACATGACTCGACATCTTTTTTTTGCCATGGCTAGGGTACTAAATGTGATCGCAGTAATATCATCAAACATCACATAAGATCACATGTCACGTGAAAAGTATTGACTAATCAAATCGTAGATCGATGAATTTTTTTTTTAAATTGACTTAGAAATTATGCGTTATAATTTCAGCCAGAATTATGAAACTATCAGCCACGCGAATCAGCCACAAGCCTCAAAAGTCACATGTTACAGAGTAGATGAAAGTTACGTGATCAATTTTGAAAATGCGAATTCTCTTCTTTTATTATATAAAGCAAATAACAACTTAATAGAAGAAAAATAAAAGCAATAAAGCTATTCAAATGACTCAACAAAGCAAGAAAATGATATAACAGATTCCCAACACTCTTCTCATAATACAGTAGACTCCTGAATAATGAAAAATAATAATTTTTGATGTAAAGAAAAAGTAGATTTGCAAAACATAAACAAAAAGTAAACAAAGAGAAAAAGAAAAGAGACAATAACTATTGCGATAATAATAATAATAAAACCTGTATCAGTTAATTAATAGTATACAGAAATCGAGATGAAACTATAAAAAAAGAGATTTAGTCAAGAAAAATTCTCTTTATATCTCTTATAAGAAGATAGAGAAGATAATGATAATACTTGATCTAATGATCAAAATATGACTTAGTACAATAACAACGTAAATCTGTCACCTGAAAATCTGAAAATAGAATTCAGGGATAACATAAATAAATTAAGAGTTATGAAGATCATGTTAAATATTTACATGAAATTATAATTGGTATTAAACTTGAATTTTTCAGAGAAAAATTATTTTCTCAAGAGAATAATAAGTAGATCACAATAAATTTTTTTTATTAATGAAGTAACCTGTTATTAATGTGAACTCTTTAATGGATACAAAAACTCGATTGGTATCAATCATTAACAGAATAACAAATATTGTTACCGTTTTAAGATTATACATATGTAATTATTTTAAAATGGTAATAGTGACTGTGTTCATGGCAATTATTTACTTTTATAAGTCCAAGAGGGTTTATATGACTAACTATTTTCTGAATAAGATAATATGTGTATGATTTATAACTGACGAATTATGATTATCTTTTCAATAAGATAATTTATACGTGCTTTACTTCTTAATAAAAATATGA